ATATATATATATTGGATGTAATTAATTGCAATTAATCATTTGACAGCACTAAGATATACTTCCACAATTATAGCCATACAATCATGTTCACATCTGATCGCATCTTGGAAGCTAAGCAAGGTTTGGCTTGGATAGGAGACTACTTAGCTTATAGCCCTGCGATGGATAAAATATTAATAAAATCATTATTTATAATAGATTTTCAATACCCTAATTAAGCATTTTACATTATAGTGTTGCAGGGTTCTATAATATTTGTATAGATTTGTACTTGCCTTGCCAACACATGAAATTTTACATTGTTTACATTTTACAAAATGTAAATTATTTCTGTTTAAATGTATTTTAACCTATTCATCAAGGGATCCTAAAAAAATGCACCAAAGTTTCCACAAAAATATGAGTCAGCGCAACTGTTTTCAACATTGCTAATAATCAGAGATGTTTCTTGAGCAGCAAATCAGAATATTAGTATGATTTCTGAAGATTCATGTGACACTGAAGACTGGAGTAATGATGCTGCAAATGTAATTGCATTTTTAAAAGCATTTTTAAAAGTATAAAAAATTGAAATCTTCTAAAATGTTAGTGTTTTTACTGTATTTTTGATCAAATAAATGCAACATAAGAGATTGAAGAGACAAATGTCTTAAAAATGCCAAACTTGCGATTGAACGGTAAGATACTTGAATACATGTTCAGTACAATATATATTCAATCAAAATTGTTAATTTTCCTCGTATTTTATAACAGTAAGATTTTATAATGACGTGTACAAGAATATGCATTTTTTTGAGCTAAAAAATTTATCACTCACAGCACACAATATTAGCAGGCAATGTCACAGCATGCATTTTTAAAATGAGTTTTTAATGGCTAATTTGTTAGTTTTGAATAGAAATTACAAATAACCATTGCTCCAAATGAACTAATTAGTTGACTACTATCTGTATATATATATATATATATATAAAGTTGACTTTAATAAAATAGCATTGACTTCGATTAACCTCTATTCTTAACAACTTTGGAAGAATTAATAATCCATTAAGTTTTGTACATTGTGCAGTTTAGGTCATTACACATAATTATACAAGAGCATAATGTCAGGACTAGACATTATCTACATGACAAGTGATTTATGTATGAAAATGTGCCGCGAGGTGCTTGAAGTATAACCCCAATAAAGCTTCATCAAAACCTAATAAATGATTTGATTGTGCGCGCAGAGCTGATATCAGGAGGTTTGAAGGTCAGCTACAAGACCTCGGCCCAGATGTACCCTAGGGGCGAGTAAATGGCAGCCCCTAATTTAACATATCTGCTGTTCTCACGCCACTGGCACCACTGCAGAACATCAGAATAGATTAATAATGGTTGCCTCTTCCAGAAATTAAATACATTTATTCCATACAACAATAACCAGTGCTGGGTAGATTACTTACTAATTGTAATGACTAAATGTGATCCGTTACTTATTCCAAATTACATGACAAACATTGTAGTTAGTAACGTAATCCATTACATTAAACATTTTGGGTAATTTGATCAGACTACTTTTTGATTACTTTTAGATTACTTTTGACTTAACTTGTTTATCACATTGATTTAAATTGGATAATTTTGTACCATATTGATATAAAAATACAAAGAGAAAGAAAACGGTAACACTTTAGTATAGGGGCCAATTCTCACTATTAACTAGTTGCTTATTAGCATGCCCATTATTAAAATATTGTCTGTTTATTAGTACGTATAAAGCACATATTCTGCATGACCATATTCTACATCCCTAATCTTATCCAATACCTAAACTTAACAACTACCTTACTAATTATTAATAAGCAGAAAAATTAGGTAAATTTAGGTTAAAAAAAAACACTTAAAATAAAGTGTGACCGAAAACATATTCCATTCTTTGTTATTAACATCATGAAGTGCATTAAACAGTATGTCAAAGTTTCCCAAACTGGGGTTTGTAAAGGAACTCCAGGGGGTTTGTGAGTTTAATGAAAAGCTAATAATCAATTAAATCATGAAAATGCAAATTTAAAATAAGCCATTTTAAACTAGCGTCGATCAAAATAAAACATTTACTAAAAAGATTTAATTTGTTTACCTGCATGTGCATGTGACCATTAACCAAAACTCGAAAACGCAAAGACTTTTCTGAATATACATAAGCGGTAGCTATTTTAGAAAGGAAAATTTAAAAGATGAAAAAATAAGAATTAGTGAGAATCAATTCTGAATAATGTATTGCTATTGTGTGAATATGTAGTCATGTAATCAATTGTGGTCTGATTACGAGTATTTTAAAATGTAATATAATCTAATTACAAGCACTTATTTTTTGGAATCTGATTATTAAATCCAGATCACATGTAATCAGTTACTACCCAGCTCTGACAATAACTTAGTGTCGCCGTATAAGGACTTCATCCAAGAATTTAAAATCTGTGGTCTTTTACTTTTTTATATGGCATTGAAAAGTAGAGAATTCATTTTTAGATTAAATATTCTGTTAAAAAATAAAGTACTAATGTCATGATGCTTCAGAAGATAAAGTTTTAGATCTTTTTTCTTCAGACACAACCAGAGGCCCTTAGAGGCGACGAGGGATGAAGTTCATAAGAACAGATGCCATGTGAAGTTTCCAGAACTTTTCTCCAGCTTTCCTTACCGGGTCAACGTCACGGCAGTGAACTCTCTGGGTCGAGCTTCCAGCGCCATCAGCTTCGAGGAGTCCTCAATAGGTACAATGTTTATACTACACACAAAAAAAACATTAGAAAGTGCTTTCACTCATAAATTGCTATTAAATTTCACAAATAATTACCAAAAAAACTAGTGCTGTCAAACGATTAATCGCGATTAATCGGATCCAAAATAAAAGTTTTTGTTTGCATAATATATGTGCGTATAATGTGTATATTTATTATGTATATATAAATACAAACACATGCATGTATGTATTTAAGAAAAATGTGTTATGTTTATATATTAAATATATTTATATATAATATAAAATATAAGAATATAAATATATAAATGTATATACATGTACATATTTTCAAAATATATACTG